GTGATTCTCCTGCCTCAGCCTCCCAAGTAGCTGGCGGGGGTGGGTACAGTGCATGTCACCACACCGAGCTAATTTTTTGTATTTTTAGTAGAGAAGGGGTATCACTGTGCTAGCTAGGATAGTCTCGATCTCCTGACCTCATGATCCGCCTGCCTTGGCCTCCCAAAGTGCTGGGATTACAGGCATGAGCCACTGCGCCCGGCAGGATTTTCTTAAGATGTCATTGAATTGATGAAATAGGCTACATAAACCATAGCATTTCTTCTTAAAATCATATATGCAGTGTATATTTCCTTTAAATAAACTAATATTTTCTTCTTCTTTTTTTTTTTTTTTTTTTTTGAGACAAAGTCTCACTTTGTCACCTAGGCTAGAGTGCAGTGATGTGATTTCGGCTCACTGTAGTCTCTGCCTTCTGAGTTCAAGTGATTCTCCTGTCTCAGCCTCCCGAGTAGCTGGTATACAGTCGCACGCCACCACACCTGGCTAATTTTTGTGTTTTTTAGTAGAGACAGAGTTTCACCATGTTGGTCAGGCTGGTCTCAAACTCCTGACCTCCAGTGATCCAGCCACCTCAGCCTCCCGAAGTGCTGGGATTACAGGTGTGATCCACCTCACTCAGCTTTCTCTTAATCTAGCCTTACCCACCATGGGTCCAGTAAGAAGTCAAATCTTTGTTTATTATTGGGTAACAAGCTTTTTTGATTCATTTTAAATATTATCAGGTGGAAGTAGCAACTTAAAACCCTTTCTTAAATGAGAATAAAAGTCAGTCATAAACTTTTCACTGAGAAACATCTGACTAGTAGACTTGGAAACGTCATTGAGGGGAATCTTTAATACCACAGAAAATGTAGAATAGTGATATATTGCCACTGTAAAGAAATAACCGAATCTGTAGTTTAGGCCAAAAGTAAACTCCAGGAAAAGATTAGTTAAGAACGACTGTTACTGTAGTGGGCCTGGTGTGGTGGCTCACGCCTGTAATCCCAGCACTTTGGGAGGCCAGGGTGGACAGACCACTTGACGTCAGGAGTTCAAGACCAGCCTGGCCAACATGGCGAAACCCCATCTCAACTCAAAATCCAAAAATTAGCCAGGCGTGGGGGTGCGTGCCTGTAATCCCAGCTACTTGGAAGACTGAGGCAGGACAATCGCTTGAACCCAGGAGGCGGAGGTTGCAGTGAGCCAAGATCATGCCACTGCACTCCAACCTGGGCAACAGAGCAACACTTTCTCTCAAAAAATAAAGACACAAAGAACTATTGTAGCATCCAGTTTTTATTTGGCAAGATTAATTTATTGTTGTAGTATTTATACAACTAGATTTAATGCTTTTTTTTAATTAAAATGTGTTTTTGTGAAAACAATGTTGGCATATATGCATAAAGTTATACTACTGTGTTTTCAGAAAACAGAGGAAAAATCAGGATGATGACGAAGATGATGATGATGGGTTTTTTGGACCAGCCCTTCCTCCTGGATTTAAAAAGCAGGATGATTCTCCTCCAAGGTGATAAAGTGTAATATTTTAGGCTAGTCTTTCTTTAACATTTTAACTAATAAATTCTTAATTAATTAAAGAATTGTCTGAAATTATGTTTTAACTGAAATATTTATATAACATTTTGAAATGGGTCATTCATAGGTAAATGAAGTTGTTTCCTATAATAAAATTAATTATTTACATGTTTATGACACTTACATAGTTTACAAAAAACTTCCACATCTCTTATTTGATATTAAGAAAAATGTTTTGTGGTAAACGGGGTGGATTATCCCTCTCCCCACTTTAATAACGGAGACGGTCACGCACATAGTAAGTAGCAGACCCGGGGCTAGAATCTTGATGTTCTAACTTCTAATTCATTTGTTTTCTTAATTATTTATCGATAGAAGAAACAGATCCCCATGTGCCATGTTAGGCAATTGGACTAACTTCTCTGCATCTCAAATTTGTTATCTGTAAACTAGGATAACAGCATGTACTTTACAGAACTGTTGTGATGTTTGAGGTTTCATAGTTATCTACCTAGTCGTGTGTGTGCGTGTGTATGTGCGTGTGTGTATGTGTATGTGTGTGTGCGTGTGTATGTGCGTGTGTGTGCGTGTGTGTATGTGTATGTGTGTGTGCGTGTGTATGTGCGTGTGTGCGTGTGTGTATGTGTGTGTGTGTGTGCGTGTGTGTATGTGTATGTGTGTGTGCGTGTGTATGTGCGTGTGTGTGCGTGTGTGTATGTGTATGTGTGTGTGCATGTGTATGTGCGTGTATGTGTATGTGTGTGTGCGTGTGTGTGTGCGTGTGTGTATGTGTGCGTGTGTGTGTGTGCGTGTGTATGTGCGTGTGTGTATGTGTATGTGTGTGTGCGTGTGTATGTGCGTGTGTGTATGTGTGTGTGCGTGTGTGTGTGCGTGTGTGTGCGTGTGTGTATGTGTATGTGTGTGTGCGTGTGTATGTGCGTGTGTGTGCGTGTGTGTATGTGTATGTGTGTGTGCATGTGTATGTGCGTGTGTGTGCGTGTGTGTGTGTGTGTGTAATTTATATGGAGCCTGGCACAGAGTAAGTATATAATAAATATTTATTCCTGTCTTTTTCCCAGAATTGTAAAATTTTTTTAAATGCCAAATATAAGATTACATGTTAAATTGTTGATAATTCATAATACTGTACACCAGTTTGCAAGAACAAGCAGAAAAGGTTATTTTATATTCAAAGTTTACAATCACATTTGGCAGCTCCTAATTTCATTCACTTTGATCCTTTTAGATATACAGAGATAGGCAAAGTAAGAATGATTTTTGCATTTTTGAGAGTAGCTAAAAAAACAAAGACAGATATGCCAGAGACCCACGTGTGGCTCTCAAAGCCTAAAAGTTACTATCTAGCCCTTTATAGAAAGTTTGCTGACCCCTAGGATGTAACATTCCTTTTCAGAAAACACGTTACTTAAATGTATAGTAGGTTTTTTTCTTGAGAATTATATTTTGACAGTAATAAAATATATGTGTAAAATAAACAGCTGGCATCATATATTGGAGTTAGAAACCTTTTATAGTACCATCGCATGCCATGGTTACATTCTTTACTATATTTTTAAGATTTTTACATATCAGTAATTTTATCACGACCAATCCCCCAAGGCCAGAAAGTTAAGCTATACTTGCATTTGTAGATTGTTAAAAATTTTACTCAGAAAAAAACCTATTCTGTACTCTTAGCTTGTAAGTGATACCTAAGTTTATCTTTTTAGCAGTGCCAAACTTCTCTCTTTTATATGCAAATTGTTCTGCTTAAAGAAGTTTCGTGAACCAAGATAAGAGATTATTAAATGGTCAGGATGGGAATCCAGACTTTCTGACTGCCAGTACTGTCTCTTCCCCCTGCCAGGATGCCTGTCTGTGGGGTTCTAATAGAACATGGTGCAACCTGGACATTTCAGCTTAGGACTTCAGTGCCCTCTGGGTTGGTAACTGGCACAGTGACAACTATGGGAAAAACATTGGTGCAAAAGCCAGGATGAAGAAACTTAAAAGTATGAAAGAGAGTACTTTTTAATTTTTAATCTTTTTAATTTTTTTCTACATAAAGTAAGCCTGTCTCTTTTTAAGATCCAGTATTCAGGCAAGTCTCTCTTTTGAAGTGATGGCAGTTGCCTCATTATGTGGCAGTAGGACAGCTCGAAAGAAAATGAACTTTGACATGAAGAAGACCAGGGTTTCAACTCTAGCTCAGCCACTTAGTAATTGCGTTAATCTTGGACATTATTTTGCTCATCTTAAAAGCAGAGTGACTACTGACCAGGACTGTCTTAAGGAAACGGAATGTGGTTAGCATAGTAACTGTTTTCCCTTTCTCTGAGTCTGAATGAACTAGCTGCATTCTTCTACAGTTCCATGTCATTGCTGTATTATTAGTGAGAACAATGTATAGATTTTTAATACTGCAATGGCATATAGACATATGGCCTTAGAAGAACTCCATTTCTACTTTGGCAGTTCTGACCATAATTATAATGCCCCTAAGGTACTTTTTTCACTGGATGATGAATATCAAACTGAAGGAAAGCCAAGGCACAAAATAAAAAAAGACCGTCACATATTTTGGTACATCAATTTTTTTAAAATATTACCATTTATATTTAATACAGTTATTTTTAGGAATTGGACATATGTCAGTGTCACAAAGATTGAGAATTATTGGCTTAGTCTCTAATTATTGACTAACAAGTAGAAAATTGAATTTTGAAAGTTAGGTTTTTAAAAGACATCTAGCAGAAAGATACTAGGTAATACTAGTAAAAATGTGTTAAATGAATTTCTTATTTTCAACATTTGTTACTATCTGACTTTATTATTTTTGTGAACTTTTATTCTGAAAACTGCCTTTTAAAGTGTAAATGATAAGAGTACATTTTATTTTTCAGGCCCATGATAGGTCCTGCATTGCCACCTGGTTTCATTAAAGCTACACGGAAAAGTGACAAAGGCAGAGATGATCCAGAACAACAGGTATCATCCCATTTCAACTCTAAGGTTGAAAAGAATAAGATGTATTGTAACTGGACTCAAGTGTAATGTAAGACTCGGTTATATTCAGATGGATTTAATTTAAGATTGTAACATAAGCAGATGAAATCAAAAGCTGTTCATAAACCTGAGATTCTGTTAGGCAAATAACAAGGTTGACAGCGTGTTACCTATTCATGCTTCTTATCTTTGAAGGAGACTTTAAAGAGTTAGAAGGATGCAACATGAAGAGTTTAAGGAATGATTGTGATTTGGCCTGGAGGAGACAAAGTTGAAGAGCTTCTTAATAATGGTTGTTACGTTGAAATTTACTTTCTCCTACCCAGCTCTGGGACCTGTGTATAAAAAAATGCACTGGTGGATAAGTAATTTTAGGAAAAGATAGACCAAATGACTTTGGAGTACAGTATAAAGGCCGTTTTTCTCCTTAACAAGAGTTGAGGTTTGTAGAGTACTTTATAGTTTGTAACGCGTTTCCCCTACATGTGGCCTGATTTTATCTCCACCACAGCTTCACGAAATAGATGCTGTCTGCACCTTACAAATGCTAAAGACCAGAGAAATGGGGCACCTTACCCGAGATGACGCCATCTTTACTGACCAAAGCCATGGCACAAACCCCGTTCTTATGACTTCAAATCACTTGTTCAGTCTGTTATACTGCAGTGCCTTCCTGTATGTGAATTCATGTATTCCAGAGACTCCTGTTTATCTCCACTAAGCATTCAACAGTTACACTGAGGTTGTTCCTCCAAGGACATGTAATGCAGTGGTTGTTAAAATCATGATTTCAGAGTCATTTACTTATTCTGTCAAATGCTTGCCGAACACCTGCAGTGCAGAAATGAACCTGTCAACAATTTATTTCATAAGACATTCAGGATCCAGCCACTTCTGCTCCCACCGTGGTCCAAGTGACCATCAAATTTTAGCCCTCTTATTGGCCTTCATGCTTTATGTAGCCCTTTCTCCTCCACTACCCCTTCTCAACACAACAGCTAAGGGGGTCCAAATGAAACAAAGGCAGATCATGTCACTGACACTCAAAACCACCAACTGCTCCTCCTTTCCCTAAGTCAAAGCCAGAGTCCTTTTAGGGTCCTGTACAGCTGATTATTTTTGCTTTGATGTGACTTCACGGGGCTCCTTGCTTTTCCTCCTCAAACACAGCAGGCCAGCTCCCACTCCTGAGCCTTGGTACCTGCTGTGCACGCCTATGCAAGATGCTCTTCCCCTGGGTATCTGCACGGCTGACCTCCTAGACATTCCATTTTTTGCTGGAATACTGTCTTTCCAGCACAGTCATCTCTGGCCCCCAAATTAAAATATGCTAACCTGTTCTTCCCTCCTTTCATTTTCTCCATAGTATTTATTACCACTGAAGATACCGTTAATTTTACTTCTGCTTCCTTATACATAGTGGATATTCAGAAGTATTTGTGGAATGAATGAATAAGTAAAACACAGTCCCTGCCCTGATCACACTTACAAGGTAGTGGGGGATACATACATCAATTTCCAACATTATGAATTATTTAAAGGTGAGACAAAATGTAACTGGAACCATGATGGGGGAATCTAATCTGAAAATGAGAAAAGGTCTTTTTCAGTAGGCACAGTGGTTCACGCCTATAATTTCAAGGTGGGTGGATTGCTTGAGCTCAGGAGTTGAAGACCACCCTGGTCAACATAGCAAAATTGCATCTCTACCAAAAATGCAAAAAATTTAGCCAGGCACGGTGACATATGCCTGTGTTGCCGCCTACCTGGGAGCTGAGGTTGGAGGATAGCTTGAGCCCAGGAGGCAGAGGTTGCAGTGAGTTGAGATCGTGCCATTGCACTCCAGCCGGGGTGACAGCAAGACCCTGTCGAAAAAGAAAAAGAAAAGGTCTTTTTATCTGAGCGAATGTCTACTAATCTGAAGTTTGATGAATTGGAGCTAGCTCAGCAAAGCAGGCAGGGAACATTGTTCCAGAGAGCAGGTGGCTTATCTGAAGGCAAAAGAGAGTGTGAAGAGGATGAAAGTTAGGGTTAAAGACCTTCAGTGTGGTGAGAAAGGAGAGCACAGGGAGAATGCCGAGGGAGAAGGTGCGGAAAGTAGGTAAGAGCTGCTCAGAGCCTTGTGTCAGGCTTAGCTTCACAATCAGTAACACGCCCTTGCCTCCCAGGGTTGTTAAAAGGGTTAAATCAGAATAGTAGGTTTATTAGTCTGTTTTCACACTGCTAATAAAGACATATCCGAGACTGGGTAATTTATAAGGAGAGAGGTCTCATTGACTCACAGTTTGGCATGGCTGAGGAGGCCTCAGGAAACCTACAGTCATCGCAGAAGGGGAAGCACTTTTATCTTCACATGGTGGCAACAAGAAGAAGAATGAGTGTCCAGTGAAGGGGGAAGCCCCTGATGAAACGGTCAGATCTTGTGAGAACAAACTCACTGTCACAAGAACAGGATGGGGGATGACCCCATGATTCAGTTACCTCCACCTTAGGAAGGTGGCAAGGAAATTTGCTTCTGCCTAGAGCCTTGTCGTACTATCTGTAACCTACTTTCAACTGGTTCTCAAAAAAAGTGTGTGTCTGTCTGTCAATCTCAAGGGGAAGGGAACAGAAAACAAACAAACCAAAAAAATGGATGGGGTAAACTGTAACGTACCACTCAGTAAATCTGAGTGAGGACATATCGGTATTTATTGCACCCATCTTAGCACTTTCATATAGGTTCAAAAATTTTCAACATAAAAATTCGGGAAAAAAGTTTTCAAAGGCGTAGAGTAATTTAGCATTATTCACACTAGGAATTTTGTCCTAACCTACCTAGTCAGCAAAGGGATTGCTTACATCATCTCCCAGGTGGTACACATTCTACATTCCCTAACCTCTTTTGGTGAAATGTGAGGGATGATGCTGCAGGTCCTCATGTGAGGTCTTCTTGCTCTGATTGTTTATAATTTCCCTTTAATTGAAACTTTTTCAAAAGACCCATTTCAGATTTTCATTTCTCAAAGATGGGCTTCTCTTAGCCTCATTCCCAGCATATCTCCCCAAATTAAAACATACGCAATAGGCCGGGCGCGGTGGCTCACGCCTGTAATCCCAGCACTTTGGGAGGCGGAGGCAGGTGGATCACGAGGTCAAGAGATCGAGACCATCCTGGCCAACATGGTGAAACCCCGTCTCTACTAAAAAATACAAAAATTAGCTGGGCCTGGTGGCGTGTACCTGTAATCCCAGCTACTCAGGAGGCTGAGGCAGGAGAATTACCTGAACCCGGGGAGCAGAGCTTGCAGTGAGCAGAGATCGCACCACTGCACTCCAGCCTGGCGCCTAGTGATGGGACAAGACTCTGTCTCAAAAAAAAAAAAAAAAAAACCTACTAATGGTTGACATTTCTTGTGCACATACCACAAGCCAGACACTGCAAGAGCAGCATAAACTTAATCCAAACAACAATGCAGGGAGGTAGTGTGTCAGCTGAATGCCTGCAGCTGCAAATAACAGAAAATCCAACTCAAAATGGAACTTTACCTTCACTTAGTTAGCAAATGGGTTATTTCCTTGGTGATACTTGTTCTGTATTTTCAAAATAAGGACAATATGTTTCATATATAATAAGAGGTCTAGAGGTAAGATCATTCCAGGCTTGATTAATTCATTCCTCTCATGAGATCATCAAGGGCTCCAGGTTTTTCTGCCTTCCTGCTCTATAAGAGAATTAACACGTTGTTAATTCTCTTAGGCTGGCTGTCTTCATCATACCAAGAAGCCTGCCAAAGTTGTAAGACTTACACACAGCTAGCAGTGTCCAGACACAGAGGAGGAATGGTCCTTTCCCTGTGCCTCTTTTGTTGAAGAATGAAAACCCTACCAGTTTCCTGTAGACCTTCTGTGTTTATTTCACAAAAATTGTGTCATATGTCCATGCCTAAACCAATCAGTTGAGCAGGAAGAATAAGACCAAAGTAACTACTTTATAAACATGTCCATGCAACAGTTACTACTTTTTTTTTAGTGACTGGCCTAGAATTATCAATATTTTTCCCCAGGTATTAGAGAAGGTCCCAGTTCCCTCAGAATGGTGTGGCTCCAAAGAGGGTGAACAAAATGCTGGGTTCTCTTGGCAATGGAATAGTTATTGGTAGAAGCTGTTATAATTCCCATGTCAAAGACAAGAAAGCCAGCACTTAGAAAGGTTAGATAACATACCTGAAGTCACAGGGCTAGTACACTGGCAAATGAGGCCTTCAGCAAAGTCAGGCCAAAGTATAAACCAGTAGGGTACCTAATTTCTATTGTAATTCTGGATAAAATATACACCTTTTTTTTTAACTAAAAGAAATAACTCATCAGGACACCAAAATGATTTAATACCTAGTAGGATTTGGACATATTCTTCTGTTTCTGATTTTCAATTTAGTGTGTTTGGCCTGATTTCCTCTTTGCTTCTCCATCCCCTTTTTGTTTAGTGATATTTGTTTCTAAAAATTGCAGGCATCATCTTACCAATACATGCTAAGATTCTACCTTTATGAAACCATCTTTTATTCAGTTGGAAGTAAGACTGTCATTAGCTTATTCCAGTAATCCTGTATTGGTGCACCTGATTGGTGCTTCTATAGTTTTGTTTTCATGTCTCATAGTTTTAAAAAGTTCATTATATCTTTTACTTCTGAACATTTTGTGTCACCAAATATTTATATTTGTAGGGGCTATAAATATGTTTAACATAATGTCTATGACATTAGAAAGCTTACTATTGTAGATATAAGCTAGAAACACTAAATCACTAACAGTTGAGATAAAATAATAGAGGGACCCCTGTCATATACACAGAAAAAATACTGGCCATGATCTTGGAATATTTGATTCTTAGATAATAGTTTTATAAAACTTATAGTTGTTTACCTATTCTAATTACACTCTCTAAGCCTAGGTTTCCTAAAGAAAAAGAAAAAACAGAAATAGTGCCATTTTATAGTTTTTTTTACAAGGATCAAGTGAGATGTATGCCGAAATCCATCGTTATTAAGAATGTGTTTGTGTGCGTGTGTGTGTGTTTGTGTGTATGTCTGTGCGTGTTAGAGTAAGCCACAAGACAGCATATAATTGTCTAATTATTGTACTATTTTGAGAAGACTTTTAAGGAGGTGGGAGAGGTCTGCATGCCGTGGTTTGCCATCTCTGTGCTAGGCACTTGAGGAAGGTGAGGAAAAGTCCTCATGTTCAGTGATGAGCCAGCAATACGTTGGTTACTTTTTATTTTTTATGGAAAATCAGTTTCAGTGAAATTAGGTAATTTAGAATTACTTTTTATAACCTGTAGCTCTGCTCTTGGTTTAAAGGTAATGTCTTGTTTTAAAAGGAAACAGACAGCAGTGAAGATGAGGACATTGTGGGACCAATGCCTGCAAAGGGACCAGTCAACTATAATGTGACGACAGAGTTTGAAAAAAGGGCCCAGAGAATGAAAGAAAAACTGACCAAAGGAGATGATGTGAGTTTTAAAGACATTTCAGGAAATAAACCAAATGGATTCAAAATGTAAATTTTAGAAATAAACACTAAACTACATAACTTTGAATATATTTTATTTTTATGTATAACACAGATTTTTTTTAACTTAGGAGTGAGAACCCAGAAACTATAAAAGAAAAATAACAAATTGGATTACAGCCTTTGTAATGTTTGTGGCAAACATGTGACAAAACATCAGTCCTTTCTTTTAGAGTCTTAAGTAACTAAAACTTCAGCTGCATGACATAGTTGCTTATGCGTATGTATGTGCTCATCTTACACACTATATGTACTTTCCATGCTATTTTTTTCCTTTTATTTTTTTTCTCTGAAAGGATTCATCTAAACCCATTGTAAGAGAGTCATGGATGACTGAACTTCCTCCGGAAATGAAAGACTTTGGTCTTGGGCCAAGGACTTTTAAGAGAAGAGCTGATGACAAATCTGGAGATCGATCAATCTGGACAGATACTCCAGCTGATAGGGAAAGGAAAGCTAAGGTGAGAGGTGGTGTTTGTTCACGTATTTCTGTTCGTGTTGGCTGGATTTTGAAAAGACGTAATGCGAAATTTTTAAGGGTACTATTTTTTTTAATTATGATTCCAAAAGGATAATACAGATTTTCCTCTGGAGAAAGGTTATGAGGAACGAAAGTGACACCAATTGCTTGCTGTTTGCTTACTATTTACCAATAAACAGTCTCATTTAAACCTCAGGAAAACTCTGAGACATAGGTATAATGACCTGATTTTACAGATGGAGAAACTAACCTGCATGAGGTCAACTTCTAGGGTCACAGAGCTAGTAAGTGAAGAAAAACAACTTCATTTTAGACCTTTCTAACTCCAGATTCCCTGGTCTTTTTATACCATACTATCTTAATGAACATTTGTCTTTTAAAATATTTTGGGGGGAAAAAACAAAGCTGCAGATTAACCTAGCAAATTAGTGACACCCAGAGAAATCTCTCTCAAAATGATCATGTCTCAGCTGCACTAAGCTCTATGTTACTGTCAAGACAGACAAGAAGCACTATCACTTTTTTTTTTTTTTTTTTGGAGACGGAGTTTTGCTCTTGTTACCCAGGCTGGAGTGCAATGGCGTGATCTCAGCTCACCGCAACCTCCGCCTCCTGGGTTCAGGCAATTCTCCTGCCTCAGCCTCCTGAGTAGCTGGGATTACAGGCACGCGCCACCATGCCCAGCTAATTTTTTTTTTTATTTTTAGTAGAGACGGGGTTTCACCATGTTGACCAGGATGATCTCGATCTCTTGACCTCGTGATCCACCCGCCTCAGCCTCCCAAAGTGCTGGGATTACAGGCATGAGCCACCGCGCCGGGCCAAGAAGCA